CGCGGCACCTGGGCTGGGGCGTGGGGAAGCGCATGCGGGATCCCGGCACAGGTGTGGGCGCTAGGGGGGTACTGCTCGGTTGCGGGCTGTGTGCGCACCCCATCTCGCCCCCGTGCACGCAGCGCTGGGGGGTGGGGGGGTGGGGGCCAGGAGGTGTGAGGAGACAGGACGCAGGGACGAGGGACACGGGGCGGAGGACAGCTGATAGGGCACCGGGCGGTGAGGAGGCTCCAGACCGCAGAGGTTATGGGACGAGCACAGCCAGGACCCAGAAACCGGGCGTGCAATGATGCCGGAAAGCCTTGGGGGGCTGGGGAAGGCAGAGGGTGCAGTCAGCCTAGGCTTGGAGTTGAGCCAACTCGGCCAAGTGGAGGCAGAGAAGGCAAGTTGGGGGACAAGTGGGCACAGGAGCCGAGGGGCTCGAGGGAGGGAGGCGGAGGAGGCCTCAGAGGCCAGTGCTGCCTCCCTGCCTTGACCTCTGGGGTTTCACCTGGCCGCCGGGTGGACAGGGCAGCAGAGGGGCGAGGCGGAGGCCTCTGCGGACAGAGTGAAGGCGGAGGGGAGTCACAGAGGAGGAAGGACAGGACGTCTGGGAAGGGGCAGGAGGGGTTCAGCCCAGATGACCTGAACTTGGGGTCCACGGCGGTCAGCTGGAGGGTGGAGGGGTTCCTGGGGCTGAGCGGGGTGGGGGTCCTGGGGGAGCAGAGCTGGCTTGTGGATATGTGATTCCTCCTCCATGCTTCTCCCCCCGGTGTCGCTCACCAGCCCAGCAACCAGCGCCAGGTCCTGGCCAGTGTGGCTGCAGGCTGGGGCGAGGACTCTTGCCCTGGGGGTGGTCGTCCCCCTACAGAGGCTCACCCTGCAGAGGCGGCTCTGCACCTGCCCCTCCCCTGCACCCCTAGCCAGCACCACAGCACCACAGCATCCCCGAGGCCACAGGTCCGGCTGGCCTGCTGTCCAGGAGGGCGCCCTGAGTCCCCCTCCGCCGCCCTAGGCCAGGTCATGTCCTCAGCCTGCCTTCTAGGGCCATCCCCTCTGCGCCGTTGGGGTACAGGCTATGTGCGCTGGCGGGGACACAGCCTCGCGCAGCTGGCCATGGCGCAGGCCTGGCGGTGGTGAGTCTGGAGCAGGAGATGAAGCCCTCGAGGGCGGCGCCTGGCGTGACAGCGCCTGAGTGTTGTGGCTGTGAAGCGGGCAGGGGCCCTGGCTGCCTGCCCGGTCCAGCTGCCCATCTCGGCTGGCAGCGGCAGGGGCACAGAGGCAGGCTGGGTGGCCTGCACTTCTGCCCGGCAAGGTGAGGGCGGGGTGGGCAGGGCTGCCGGGCAGGGGCTTCCACACCCTTCTCACCCTCGGACGGTGGGCCCGGCCCTCCGGGTCCTGGGACGGCCAGGGAGGAGGAGAGAGGGTCAGACGCAGCCTGGCCACCATCCAGCCACCGGCCTCGGGCTCACGGAAGCACTGAGCTGGGCGTGCCCACCTCACGGCCTCTGCCGGCCCGTGTGGTCGCTGAGGTCAGCGCTGTGGCAGTGCCACCGCCTCGCCTCGCTGCGGTCAGCGTCCCTCGCCCCCACCCACTGTCCTTTCCTGCCCGTGTCCCTGCCCAGGCCCCTGGACATCTAGCAGGATACTGGCGGCAGCTTTGAGGAGGGTCCTGAGGGTGATGGGACTTGCCGTTGGGACTGGGGCGTCGGGGTGGGGAGCCCCCCCACACCCCCGTGCAGCCTGTGTGCCGGCCTCCCCGAAGTCGGCCCAGCCGCCTGGCTGTTGGGCGGGGCCTACTGACCCACCGGAAGCCCGGCGGAGCAGGCTCTGCAGCCGCCCCCACTCCTCCATCCTCCATCCTTGCCCGTCGGCGCGGCGCTGGCATCTCTTAGCGTCTGCCTGGCACCAGCGCCTCGGTGGCCTTTGGCACAAGCTCATCCCGCGCTCTTTGTCATGTTCTCCCCCGCGGCACACAGTGGGCGCCCTCTGCGGGGCTGGGCCAGGCCCAGAGTCGCCCCTCCGTGGGAGCCTGGCCCTGACCACAGGGTGCTGGACACGAAGTCTGAGCGGGCACCCCCGCGGGGACACACGTGGCCACATGCACCGCCCTCGCACCTTCCCGGGTGACCCAGTCTCTCGCCAGCTGCTAGCTCCTGCGTCCTGGGGGCCGCCCCCTCCCGCACCGCAGGCACCACCGCCCGCTTGCAGGGGATGTGTCCCGTCCGGGGCCCTGCTCCCTGCCCGGCGGGAAGCCTCCTTTGGGTTTCCAGGCACAGGTTTGCGCCCTTAAGGTCTGAGGGTGAGGGTGATGCCCGGAGCCG